AGAGCTGGGCGCTGGGTGAGGGGTGGGAGGAGAGGCAGTGGCACAAGAGGAAGGGCAAGGCAGTATTTAACAACCATCCTACCCTCAGCAGCCCTCCAGGCCTGGCCTTGCAGGTCGCTGGAGCCATTTCCACGGGCTGCCAAGAGAAAGTTGGGAGGGGGAGGCTGGGAGAAGAAAGGGAGCTCCCAGTCCACCCCTAAAAATTGTGCGCCCCACTCCAAGAAGCTGAACTTTCTTAAGAGCATCCTCCCTTGTTCGGGCCCTCAGAAGGCAGACAGTCTCCGCCCCGGGACACCAAGGACCTGCACTGACAAACTGGCCTGCCCCATGCAAGGCGATGAGGGCAACGAAAGGGCTTGGACTTCCTCTCTGGGAGCCACAGGAGGGTCTTGAGCTGGTGCAATCAACAAGCCCGGGGCTGGGGTCAGGGCCCCTGTCCCTGTGTTCTGCACCTGGCTCACTTCATTTCCCAGTGGGAACTATATCTTTGCCTTGTGCAGTTTGTGGCCCCCTACCTGAGGTAGACGCTCAAGAAAAGCCTGCAGGTTTGGAGGTGAAGATGGGCGGAATGTCAACTGGGCAGGGAGGGGGTGGCAAGGAGAAGTCACAGCCTCTCATTTTACACATGAAACTGAAGCCCAGACATGGAAGTGACTTCCTCAAGGCTTCGTAGCTAGTAAGGGGTGAAGAGATGAGGGTGGAATACCCGACTTCCGGGCTGTGCCTGCGTACAGGTACCCATCACGCATGCGTGCCATGTGTGGGGCACATGTGGTGTGTTGCTAGAGAGTTACACAGACATGTGTGGACGTGGCTTGCACGAAGGGGTAGCCGAGGGCGTGTGGACACGTGTGTCCGCAGTGTCGTGTGTCTCCCGGGCACTGGGACACGCGTGTGGGCGAGGGCACTGGAGTTCCTGAGTGACTTCCCTCGGCACCAGCAGGACTGCAGGGGGTGGGGTGGGGCGGGCCTGCACTGGGAGGAGAAGGGGAGGAGTCGGGAGCCCACCCACCCTCTGGCCCACCCTCCGGACAATGACAACGAGGACGATGACAACGACGTGGCAGTTGGCAGGACAGCCCTTTCCGTCAGAAGGCCAAGCTCCACACTCCAAGAGAGAGAATCGGAGATTGCAGAAATTGCGTTTCCCTGACTCATGCTTCAGGCTGCGAGCACATTCTTGGCTCCTGGACAGTATCTCAAGGAAGACCGGCCTGTGGTGGCCCTGGCTCGCGGGGGAGAGGGCCAGCCACGAACCAGTTATCTGAGCCTTCCTGGGCCCCAGTTTTACCCCCCTGTGTAAAAAGGGGAAAAGGACTGCACTTCCTTCCAATTAACGCCTGTAACTAAAAGTGAGACACTGTTCAGGGCACCCAGCACAGGGCCTGGCCACAGCAGAGTGTCCCCTAAATGTCACTTCCCTCTCCTCACTCCCCTTCTCAGGGACGAACAGACCTAATTCAAATCCCAGTTCTGATGGCAGCTTGCTGTGTGTGCCCTTGAGCACGCCACCTAGCCGCCCTGAGCCTCCCTTTCCTCATGCTTATAATGGGGACATTCTTACTTAACCTGAAAGTATTAAATATGATAATATGAATGTGGTGGGCACTTAAATAACATGTGAGTTTTTGTCCTAGGAGTCAACAGGGCGAGGACTGAATGAGTCTAGCCACTGAGGCCAAAGAAAGCTGTTTCTGCAATGCCGGGCAGACCCGGGCCTGCTACCTGGCTGCATCGGTTAGAAGATGGTTTAGGGGAGAGAGGGCTAGGGGTCCAGGGTGTGGGCTCTGGCCTAGCTTCACCTTTGACTTGCTGTGTGACCCTGGGCAAATTCCTGCCCCTCTCTGGGCCTCAGTTTTCTTCTCTGTAGAGTATGGGTGCAGCTGGACTATATGATATTCTTTTGTTTTTGTTTTTGTTTTTTTGCTTCTTTTTTTTTTTTTTTTTTTTGAGGAAGATTAGCCCTGAGCTAACATCTGCTGCCAATCCTTCCCTTTTTTGCTGAGGAAGACTGGCCCTGAGCCCACATCCGTGCTCATCTTCCTCTGCTTTATATGTGGGATGCCTACCACAGCATGGCTTGCCAAGTGGTGCCATGTCCGCACCTGGAATCTGAACCAGTGAACCCTGGGCCACCGAAGCAGAACGTGTGCACGTAAGCGCTGCTCCACCGGGCTGGCCCCTAACTCCATGATTTTCCTGCTGCCCACACCTCTTGGGACCTAGTGATTTCCAGCTGAGCCCCCTTGGGAGGCTGGGTGGGGGGCAGGAACAGCTCCTGCAAGAAGCCAAAGGCATTGGCGGAATGGGGACCCGAAATGCTGGGGAGTTTCTCTGCATTTCAGACTCTTTCCCCTCTCAGGAGTGCTTTTTTCAGGAAGTACAGCCAGGGAGTTGGGGGGAAGGGCCTTGGTCAGCAGGGCCAGGCTGGGCTCAGAGCTAAGAATAAAGTGGCAAAGGCTCTTAACATTTTTTGCTGATCTCGGAGATTTAAAGGAGCCGTTGCCTTCTTGCTTCAGGAAGGCTGAGCTGGGAGCCCAGTGGACTCAGGCGGCTGCCTCCATCACTCAGTGACCACGCTCACCCCCTGCCTCTTCTGGGCCTGCACTGTGGTGGGTGTGACTCAGAGTGAGAAGGGGAAGGACCTGCCCCTCCAAAGTCTCCAGTGACAACCCAGGGTGACGACGCAGAGATAACGCAGCTCCGCCCCACACAGGAGGCTTCTGACCCAGTCTGAGCTCCAGGAGTGGTCTGGCGAGGCTGGCAGAAGGTCTTCAGACCCAGGCCCCGCTCCAGGCCTCAGCTTCCCTGTCTGTAAAGGAGGGCAGTGGTCCTTTCTACTCTGACCTTCTAGGATTCTGGGTTTAGCTAACAGCATGAGCCTCAGTTTACCCTTCCCTCTCAGGATGATCACTGAGAATCATGGCACTCAGCTTCCCCCTAAAGTGTCGGTGAGGCCTCAGAGAGCTAAGAGATGGAAGACTGTGAAGGAAAGGAAAGCTCTGCGGGATTTGGACATCTGGACCTGCTGGAAACTAAGATGAACTTCTCCTTCATTCCACCGGCTCTGATGGACCCTTAGCTCACTGGCCAACTACCACCTGAGGGCCAAGCTGGGGGTAGGGGTGGGGTCTGGCCTGTGACCCAGGCCGTTTCCTTGGACAATAAAGACTTACCCTTAAAAGCAATCCACAGTTGAGGCAGGAGGACACCGATGCCCAGGACAGCTCCCCAGAGATGGACACCCCCTGAGGCAGAAAGACCTTGTTAGTGATCAGACCTGTCCTCAGAAAGAATGCGAGGCTGCCTCAGAGGGAGGGGCTGCCTCCCTGTTCTTGGCAGAGCCCGGGTGCTCGCCTTTCTGGGCACTGCGGAGAGGTCTTCTGCTTGGGGCTGCAGACAGGAATCCATGACCTCTGAGAGGCCTTGCAGCCCTGGGTCATTAATACTTTTATTATAAGATTCTTTGACTCTGACATTTAACATTCTAAGATTCCTTAGGTGGATTCAAAGACTCCATTGGGCTTCGAGTAAGGTACCATATTCTATGATGATCACCTTAGGCGTCAAAGAATCTCTGATTTGGAGAGTCTGAAGCTCTTGGCGCCTAAGATTTCCCACAGCCCTTGTAGTCTGACTCGCAGCAGCACAGCCTAACCCAGACTGAGAAGTCGGTCACCACCACTAGGCTGCGGGGCAGAAGGGGCCCACCCCCCGCCCCTGCTGCCGGGGACCCAGCTGATTCACCCGCTGGCTGCTGGGATTCATTTGCTCCCCAAGACCCAGAGATGCACCTGGAAGAAAGAAGATACTCAGCACGGTCTGTTGACTGACTGAATGAATGAGTGAATGAAGTGTCTCTTGACTCTGTCCCTTCCTCTCCATACTGTGCCCATCCGTTATTTGTCATTTCACTATTAAAGAAAATCCGGGGGAGGGCAGGCGGGTCCTGAATAATCTGTCTTCCTGAGTTTTCTGCTAACGAGAACACGCGCCCCTCAGAATGTACATCCCTGAAGGCGAGGACTTTGTCCTGTTCTCAGCTGTGACCTCAGCACCTGGAACAGAAAAGAATACCCCCACTGGGCTCAGAGCTCAAGAGGCTATCAGCTGTGGGAGGGCGAGCTGAGAGGAGTTGATAGTGAGACCTGGAGTCCGTGGGAGGGGACCAGACAGGGAGGGGGCAGGGGGACCAAGGAGAGAGAGAGACAGACAGAGACAGAGAGGGAAGGGAAGCAAGGAATGACTTCACATCACAATTCACAGCCAAAGGAAAAGATGCCCAGAAAAGGAAAGTACCTGGCTTAGGGTCACACAGCATATTACTGGGTGGACAGCCAGGGTTCTCCCTCCTGTGCACCCCTCCGGGCCCAGCCAGACCACCTGATGTTCTGGAAGTGTCTCTGCCTCTATCACTCCAAGACTTTCCTCGGGGAGGGTCCGGTACTGAGTCTGGTCCATCCCTCTCCACCTCAGGGCCCGTCACCGAGGTCGAACTTGCGCCAAGGTGCTCGAGATAAACTGCAGATGGACAAGGGAGCTGCCTCCCAACCCCTGACCCCTTGCCTGAGACAAAGGAGAGGGAAACTGACTGAGGAGGGGGCGTGCAGGGGAACCCAGTTAAGTTTCCAGCCGGGGGGAGAGGACCCACTGAGGCAGAGCCTCTGCAAGGAAAGGGATGCTGGAAGGAATGTGGCTTGTGCGCAGAGCGTGGGGCCGGGAGGGGGCTCCTCTCGGGAAGCTGGACCCTGGAGCCCCACGTCCCCTCCAGCCCAGTGGTCGGCACTTCCCCCGCCCCGCCCTCCAGGACCACAAGGGCCCGGAGTCTGCGCTGAGTCGAGGACGCCCGTGCGCTCCGCAGGTCGTGCGGTCCCGGGCGGCCTCCCGGCGGGGGTCCCCGCTCCCCCGCTCCCCCGCTCCGTCCGACGAGGGGGGCAGTAGGACCCAGGGGCCAGGAGAGTCCGCAGAGGGAGGGGGCGGGAGCCGGGGCGGTTTGGGGGAGGTCTTTGGCTTTTTTTGGTGGAGCCGGGGCGCCCTCCGGAAGCTTTTCCAACTTTCCAGAAGTTTCTCGGGACGGGCGGGAGGAGGGGACGCCATATATAGATCTGGGAAGCGGGGGAGCGGCGGAGAGTGGAAACCGCCCGCGGCTCGAGAGCGAGACTCCCGGCCGGCCCAGGTGAGGGGCTGCCCGAGGGAGGGGCTGGGGGCCGCTGGAGCGTTGGGGATCGAGACCCCGGGGCTAGGTGGTGAGGGCCGGGGCGGAGGTCGGAACCGGGGATGGGGAGTCAGGCACTCGGAGGATCTGGAAGAAGTGCATGGTTCCCCAGAAGTCTGGGACAAGGGTGGTGATGGCAGAGGAGACGGTGGGCTGGGGGCCGGGATGCTGAGACTCGACCCTTGGCGGGAACAAGGAGGGAGGGGATACAGTCTGGGGCGCCTCCCCGCACGGATCCGGGGGCCAGGCCTGCTCTGCAGTTCGGGGTGCCTCCAGTTCTGGGGTTGAGGCCCAGGGGCCAGGCGGGAGTGGTGGACCAGCCTTCTCACAGGCTTGTTGGGGGGCATCTGAGCCTCCTGAAGGTAGGGTGGTGGGAAAGGAGGTGAAACAGTCTTGGCTTTTCCTGGCGGGGGTGGGGAGGTCTTGGCTTTTGGGGTCCCCATGGCTTGGGAGGAGTCGCCAACAGTGTCTCCACTTCTGATCAGTAGCCTGCGTGTGCAGGTGATGGCAGCTAGAGCAGGGACTTGACCAGCACCCGTCTCCCCCACCGCCCTCCAAAAAGGGGGTGAGGACTCAGCAGGGCTGCATCCGCCCACAGAAGTGGGGAGGGGAACTGACGAGAAGGCTTTGAGTCACCCGGGCTAATTCTATCCACTGCCACCTGGTTCCTGGAGTAACTGCAGGGTTAAGGCTACTTCCAGAGGCCGCGGGTCCCTGCCCCCTGCGTAGGGACATTCCTGAGGGGCTGGAGTGGAGGAGGAAGAATGCAGCGGCTTCCAGCATGACCAGGAGGCCCGGCCCCGCCTCTTCCCGGTTTCCGGCTGGTCCCTCTGGGCTGCAGGGCCCGGATGGAGACCGAGGAAAATTAGGGGGCTTTGATTCCCTGGAAGTCTGGCTGGGACCACACCCTCCTGTGCTCAGATGGTTCATCTGCCCATCCCCCCTTCCAGAGGCCTCCGGGTCCCCTCCTTTTGTCTCTGGTCACCGGCAGTCCTAGCAGAAATGTTTTTTACTGGCTGTGTAACAGGACACCACATCCAGCCTCAGGAGGGGCTCTCTGGGTGCTTCTGGGAGCCCTGTGCTAGGAGGCCTGACCCTCCACTGATCCCCGTGGGATTTGGGATGGGTCTCTGGCCTCAGTTTCTCACACAGTACAATGAGATGGATGACCTCCAAGGTCCCTGTAGATCTGGGACTGGTTTTGCCTTCCTTTGTGCAAGGGGAAGTGGAGATGGGGTCCCGTTTTGGGGCTGGGCCTTCCAGGCCCTTCCTCACCACCACCCCAGCTCTGCCCTCTCCATTCTCCTCACTCTTCTGTTTTCTTTCAGAATGAAAAAGGCAGGCATTGACCTCCCCCTGAGGCAGTTTCAAGGTATTTTAGACCCCCTCAAGTGTTTGAGACCCTCTCTGGTGGTCCCCCTAGCATCTGCTTCCCTTCCCTTCTACTTAAACCTAGAATTCGGTCTCAATGCAGTCTGGCTAGCTGTGGGCACAACCCTCAGCTCTCTGATTGCGTATTTTTCTTTGTGGGACCGTAAATCATCTAGCCTTGCCCTGAGGGCTGGGATTTCTTTGTGGCAACGTGGGCTCAGCCGCAGGAGTCCAGCCTGCTTGCAGGGACTTGCCTCCGTCCGCTCCAGCTGCTGGGTTACCAGGCAGCCCTTCTCCACAGCCATGCATCTCCCTGCGGACACCCATGTGCGGCCCTGAAGCTAAGGCCCGGGAGGCTCCATGGCCCCCTTGGGGACCAGAACCCAGGCCTTCCTGCTTCTCAGACTGGAACCCCCCTCTGCCGGCCGGTGGAGATAATTCCGCTTCCAGCCTGCCACGTCACCCCACCCGGAGCAGAAGCAGGAGCGCAGCTGCGTGGCTGCCTGAGGAATCCCAAACTAGTCATTTGGAGCTTTCTTGAAAAGCCCCTCCCAGCCCTTTGAGGTTCCGGTTGGCTGCCGGTGGGGGCTGTCAAGATGGTGTCTGCCACGTGGCAGGGCTGTGAGCCGGGCTCCTTGCCTCTCCCCAAGGGATGCTGGTGGCCTCTACAGTGGTCTGAGCTCTTGCATCAGCTGTCTGGACTAGAGGTGGCCTCTGAATAGGGTGACCATATGCCTGTTGTCCTGGCATAATAATTAGTAGTGCCCCATTTTACTCTTTTAAGTGCCCTTGTTTGTACGATCATAATATGCTCACTGTGCCTTTGAGCTCCAGGTCTGGTGGGGAAGGCGCTAGGCCTGGGAGGAGGTGGCCTGGGCCCTGAGCTGCCCCTCCCGTCTGTACTTTGGGGTCGCCTCTCTCTTAGCTCCACAGTCTGCACTCCAGGGTCCAGGTCTCTCTCGTACCTTCCCCCAGGCAGTTGTGAATCTCAGTGGCCTTCCCTCCCCTCTTCCCAAGTCCTCTTTGCTGCTCCTTAGCACCGCACCTTCAAGGAGGTGGCAGCCCAGGGAGGGGGCCCTGCCTGGTTCACAGGATGGTTGCAGCCATCGAGTCTTCCCCGAAACCCAGTGCTCCCGCAGGCAGGCCCGAATCCTGAGGGTCTTCCACCGGGATTCTGAATTTCTGGTCTTCCTTGAGGAGGACCATGGGATGGGGTCTGCCCGAGCAGTGGGATCTCAGCCTCCGCCAGGGTTCTTTCCAGCCCTTCCCATGACTCTGTCATCTCCTCTTCCATCCTGCTGCATGCAGTGGAGGCGAGAAGCCCTGAAGGAGGGGAACGGGGGACACATCCCATGTGGAGAGACTGTCCTGACTGCAGGCCCCAGCGAGGGGAGTGAGGCCTGCCCTAGGGGCCACTGCTACCGCTGTGGTTGGGGGAGGGGGCCTGAGGGCAACGCTGTGGCCACAGAGCACATGGCCTGTGTGGCAGTGGCTGTCAGGTGGGAGGGCAGAATGGAATCTGAGGTGGCGCCAGCTTCCTGGGAGGCTGAACACACATCTGGCCAGCCTCTGGTGAAGGGGAGGGATGTCACCGCTCCACTGAGCTGTGACTTAGCCCCTCCCGCAGTATCCTTCCTTTCAGGAAGCCCCCAGCCTCCAGCTTTTGTCCTGGGGATTTCCCATCGGCTCCAGGGGCTGTGGGCAGATAGGCAGGCAAGTCCCTGCCAGGATAGAGGCCTCAGGCATGGACACCTAGACCCTCGCAGCTTGGGGCGGGAGACTGAGGCTCAGAGAGGGGTGGACACACAAACACACACACACACACTCTCTCTCTCTCTCAAGGTCACCCTTGGGGCAGCAGACTGGGCATGTGGGCTCCCCCATTTAATGAGTGAACCAACCAGTGACTCATTAACGTCCCAGGGTGGAATGAAAAGCATGGGGGAGGAGCAGGCCTGCACCTCTGCCCCATGAGACATCCTTTGCAGACCCTCAGCCCGGCTGCCACCTTTTTCCACTGGAAAAGGGCCCCAGGGTTGTACGAGATCGGAGCTAACCTTTGTACAAACTGACGACCCCAGGTCTGGCCAGTGGCCTGAGTCCTGCTCATTCAGGAACAGCTGGGGCCTCTTGTGCTAGGCACTGGCGATGCAGAGGGAAACCAGACTGGCTAGGTTTCCTGTCCTCCTGGAGGTCCCAGACCAATTAGGGATGGAAATAATACTTAGTAAACACCCAAGTCTAAGTGTTGTAAGTTCAGTGCAAGAAATTGGGGTGGAGGTGGTGAATTGCCAGGAACCTGCTTTGGATAGGGAGGCCTCTGAGATCCCTTGTCTGGGCAACCTTGAGTTTTCTGGGCTCCCTCGCTCCCATCTCTAGGGGACTTGGTGGCAGCCAGAATGCTGGGGTTGGTTGTTGGGGACGAACGCCTGGAGCCTGAGGGTGCCCTCTCTCTGCAGCCCGCACAGGTCCTCCGTGGTGCACACAACCCGCCTCCCAGCCATGCACTCCCTCCTGCTCATCAGCACCTTCTGCCTCCTGGCCGCGGCCCTGGCCGCCGAGGTGAAGAAACCCGCGGCCGCAGCAGCCCCTGGCACGGCCGAGAAGCTGAGCCCCAAGGCGGCCACCCTGGCTGAGCGCAGCGCTGGCCTGGCCTTCAGCCTTTACCAGGCCATGGCCAAAGACCAGGCGGTGGAGAACATCCTGCTGTCGCCCGTGGTGGTGGCCTCGTCGCTGGGGCTCGTGTCGCTGGGCGGCAAGGCGGCCACGGCGTCGCAGGCGAAGGCTGTGCTGAGCGCCGAGCAGCTGCGCGACGAGGAGGTGCACGCGGGCCTGGGTGAGCTGCTGCGCTCGCTGAGCAACAGCACGGCGCGCAACGTGACCTGGAAGCTGGGCAGCCGCCTCTACGGGCCCAGCTCGGTGAGCTTTGCCGACGACTTCGTGCGCAGCAGCAAGCAGCACTACAACTGCGAGCACTCCAAGATCAACTTCCGCGACAAGCGCAGCGCGCTGCAGTCCATCAACGAGTGGGCCGCGCAGACCACCGACGGCAAGCTGCCCGAGGTCACCAAGGACGTGGAGCGCACGGACGGCGCGCTGCTGGTCAACGCCATGTTCTTCAAGCGTGAGTCCCCGGGGCGCGCGCCTCCCCCTCCCCAGCCTGGCGATTAGATCAGTACCCCTGTGCCAAGCACCGCGAGCTGCTGCCCGTTCACTCCTCAGCAACCCGGGGAGGCAGGCACTGGTATAAACCCTCTCTACATACAAGAAACTCCATTCAGAAGGTGTAGGGTGTGTCTGCAAGAACGGGATGGAGATTCAGGCCCAGCAGAGGGACTCTGGGGGATGTGCTCCTGCTGTGTTTCATCACGTGGAAGTTCTGTTGCTTGTTTTTGAATCCCTAAAATTCGATCATCAGTTCTGCTGCTCAGTAGCAAGCAGCAGAAAGGTCCCACACCTGTGATCATGCCTGATCCTAAAGCAACCTGGGCGCTGGTAGGGTTCCCCCCATCTCACAGGTGCAGAAACAGGCTCAGCTAGGAGATGGCAGAGCGCGACTCAGGCCCAGGCGCATCTGTGTTGATTTGAAGATGGGATTTGGGGTGACTGAGTATTTTTGCGTATAGTCATCCTTTGGTATCCACGGGGCATTGGTTCCAGGACCCCCGCGGATACCAAAATCCGAGGATGCTCAAGTCCCTTAGTCGGCCCTCTGTATCCATGGGTTCCCGATCTGTGCATATGGAGGGCCCACTGTACCGACAGCACTGGGCCTTTCCTGGTGTGTAAGGATGAGGTAACCCCCTCATCCCTTACCTGGGAGGGGTGAAAGCTCTTGCAGCCAGTCAACAGCTGAGTCTGGATTTGAACACAGGTCTGATTGTGACTTAGGGCAGGGTTCAGGCCACTGTCACCCAGGCATGGTTTTTGGGGTCATTTTTCTGGCCACGGAGACAGGACTTGCAGACAGGAATTAAGGGTGGTCGGGGCTGGCCCCGTGGCCGAGTGGTTAAGTTCGAGCGCGCTGCTGCAGGCGGCCCTGTGTTTCGTTGGTTCGAATCCTGGCCGCAGACATGGCACTGCTCATCAGACCACGCTGAGGCAGCGTCCCACATGCCACAACTAGAAGGACTCACAATGAAGAATATGCAACTATGTACTGGGGGGCTTTGGGGAGGAAAAGGGAAAAAAAATAAAATCTTTAGAAAAAAAAAAGGAGGGGCTGGCCCCGTGGCCGAGTGGTTAAGTTCGAGCGCTCCGCTGCAGGCAGCTCAGTGTTTCGTTGGTTCGAATCCTGGGTGCGGACATGGCGCTGCTCATCAAACCACACTGAGGCAGTGTCCCACATGCCACAACTAGAAGAACCCACAAGGAAGAATATACAACTATGTACTGGGGGGCTTTGGGGAGAAAAAAAAGGAAAAAATAAAATCTTTTAAAAAAAAAAATTAAGGGTGGTCTTGGGGCACTCCCTGCGCAGGGCATGGACTCCTCAGTTAGCAGGTGGGGTGAGAAGTCCAGCTCAGCACGTGTTCCCCAAATGCTTGACTGGTGCCGGGGCAGAGGGTGGACGTGCAGGTGGCTGAGGGGATTCCCTATCCTGTGGGAAGCGCAGGCTCTGACTGGGGAAAGCCTGTCTTCAGACAGCGTGTCCTGGGGCCAAGACTCCCGCCCCCAAAGCAGGCAACATGTACTCCATTGGGTGGGTGCTCGGGGAGCAGGTGGGCTACAGCAGAGCCCCAAAGACTGGGACAGAAGCCTGTGGCAGGATAGATCAGGGTTGATCCCCCAAATGCATTTGGGGGTTAGGGGCTGTGTTGTGTTTCTAGGTGGGGGCGTGTCTCTCTGACCTGTGTCCTACCTCCCACGGCAGCACACTGGGACGAGAAATTCCACCACAAGATGGTGGACAACCGAGGCTTCATGGTGACCCGTTCCTACACCGTGGGTGTCACAATGATGCACCGGACAGGTAGGTGCCTCGCAGAGCGGGGGGCCCAGGTGGGGCTCCGAGGATGCTTGGGGCTGGCCCGGCTGCGCCCCACCGCATGCCCAGGACCTTCTCTGCACTCTCTCAGGCCTCTACAACTACTATGACGACGAGAAGGAGAAGCTGCAAATTGTGGAGATGCCCCTGGCGCACAAGCTCTCCAGCCTCATCATCCTCATGCCTCACCATGTGGAGCCCCTCGAGCGCCTTGAAAAGCTGCTGACTAAAGAGCAGCTGAAGACCTGGATGGGGAAGATGCAGAAGAAGGCTGTCGCCATCTCCCTGCCCAAGGGGGTGGTGGAGGTGACGCACGATCTGCAGGTGAGGGCCGGCCCAACCCCGGGACCTGCAGGGCTTGGAGGAGGAGGGGTGCCCGGGGCAGCCATTCAGCAGCTCAGCAGGTCCGTCCTGAGCCCCCTGGGTGTCCCAGAGGTACTGGGCTCTGCTGTGGGGGAAGCTGGGGAGGCAGGAGGCATGGGCCCTGCCCCTTGGGAAGGTGGTGATAACATTGGTAGCTAAATATCATTGAGTGCTTGCTGTATGTCAGGCCCTCTTCTAAGTGCTTTGTGGGTATTAAACTTTTAATCCTCGAAACAACTTTATTAGGTCAGACTATCAGCCTTATCCTGCAGATGAGGAGGCTGAGGCTCAGAAAGGTTAAATATCTTATCTAAAGTCACACAGCCAGGAACTCAGATGTCTGGCCCCAAACCATGCCCTCAATCCCATGCCTCTGAGAGTCTGAAGTGCCCCAGTTACAGATTGTTCCAGCTGGAGGCTCATCCCCCTTGCGATAGTGACACTAACAGTGGCTTTCAGCTATGGGTCCCTTGGGATGAGTGGAAACTTAACGTACCCACTCAACAGCATGTCCCCCTCATGACCACCCTGGGTGCTGGGCAGCGGCTCGGAGAGAAGCAGTGCCTGGCTGAGGTCACCTGGCTAGTCAGTGGTGGACTCGCCGTGAGTCCTCCAGGTGAAGGCTCAGGCGGCCTTTCTGTAAGCAACAGGGAGAGATTTTTGACCTACTCCAAAGGGAGAACTTTCATCTCATTCTCGTGTTGGCTGCCAGCAATGGTTCCTTGGCAGGCCTCTCACCCCCAGAATTGGTTCAGACTTGCGGCTGAGAGCGTGGAGAGAGAAAGCTTGAGATGAAATGGGGCTTAGGCTCCTAGCCCGGGGCTCGTGGAGCTGGTATGGTCTGTACCGTAGGTAGAAGTGAGGTTTCCTGAGCATGGCCGTCACCGTCTCCCTCCCAGGCCTGTCCCAACTCTTCCCCAGCCCCTTCTTCTGCAGTGACCATTATCTGATCCCTTTCTACCCTTCTTTCTCCCATGTCTCCCTGGAGCCCTCGGGGGACACACGACCCCCCAGTCCATGGGGTAGATTGAGCTGGCAAATTTGACCTTGTGCAAGGTCATCGGGACTGGCGTAGACTAGAATGCCTGTCTCAGGACCCCAGGTCTAGTGCCTGTTTGGCCCTCCTGGGGAAGTGGACTGTCCTGCAGGAGGCACAGCCCTGGCGGCTGCTGTTCACTCAGCCAACCGCCCTTTGCTGCTGCCTCTTCCGCCCTCAGCGCCGGGGAGAGCCCTGGCAGTGGGCCCTGCCCTGCGGGAGCTCTGAGGCGGCGGGGAGAGACAGACAGGACCAGACACTGACAGACAGAGGCTAGGGGTGTGGAGGCCCAGGGAGGCACGGCTCCAGTCTTGTGGGATAGAGAGGGCTTCCTGGAAGATGTGGTGTCTAAGGAGACCCACAGGGAGAGAGGGCAGCCCTCGCAGTGCAGCTTGTTCAATGAGGCTGCACCCTGGAGAGCAGGGCGGGGCGTGCTGACAGGAGGGGGGTGTTTTAACTTTTCACTGTGGAAACGTATAAAACTATAATAAAGATAGATTAATGTAACGAACCCTCATGTATCCGTCATCCAGCTTTAACTGTTAATAACTCCCAACCAATAAGGATTCATCTAGACACACCCATTTCTCCCCCATGAGATTACTTTGAAGCAAATCCCAGACATCATATCACCCTGGAAAGGTTTTAAGCCCAATAGCTTTCCTTAGATTAGTCTTTCTCAAACTCGAGTGTGCCAAGAATTACCTGGAGAGGTTGTTTAAAAAGGTTCCCAGGGGCTGGCCTGGGGGCACAGCGGTTAAGTTTGTGCACTCTGCTTTGGCAGCCCCAGGGTTCAGAGGTTTGGATCCCGGGTGTGGACCTAGCACCATTCATCAAGCCACGGTGTGGCCATATACGCTGCCAGCGGTGCTGGTGCTGGCTGTCCATGACCCACACCTTGACAGGCACTGGTCAAGATTGCTTGGCGGAGCCAGGGATAAATTCTGCCTTTTCTCCGAGTCTCAGTTTCTGCATCTGTGAAGTGGAGGCTAGAAGCTCTTGCAGGGTGTCCTTGGGATTGAGAAAGCAGTGGTTGAAGTGCCCGCACCATGTGTGGCACACAGAGGGTGGCAGGGAGCGGCTCTGAGGAACAGGTGGGGTAGGAGATGCCGGGCAGTGTGGGTGGACGGGGAGAGTCTGGGAGCTTTGCGCACCATGACCTCACGTGATGCCTACCTGGTCCCACAGAAACACCTGGCTGGGCTGGGTCTGACTGAGGCCATTGACAAGAACAAGGCAGACCTGTCGCGCATGTCGGGCAAGAAGGACCTCTACCTGGCCAGTGTGTTCCACGCCACCGCCTTCGAGTGGGACACAGAGGGCAACCCCTTCGACCAGGACATCTACGGGCGCGAGGAGCTGCGCAGCCCCAAGCTCTTCTATGCTGACCACCCCTTCATCTTCCTGGTTCGAGACACCCAGAGCGGCTCCCTGCTGTTCATCGGGCGCCTGGTCCGACCCAAGGGTGACAAGATGCGAGACGAGTTGTAGGGCCCCAGGGTGGGCACGGGCTGGCAGGAGGCAGCTGAAGGCTCCTGAGACACATGGGTGCTATGGGGGTGGGAGGAACTGAGGTTCCGACCTTGGATGTTCCACGGGGTGGGGGTGGGGCAACAGAGCAGGCTCCCCGTGTCTGAGCAGACCTTCCCAGCTGGAATTCACTCCGCTTGCACATGGGGCCCCAGGTACCGGATGCCGAGCCCAGAGCGCCCCCTCCTGTGGGGCCTGGGCGGTGGTCCTCGTGCCCTGCCCTCGGAGACCTGGGATCAAGCCTGCCTCAGTCAGTGTTCGTATTTATAGCCAAGTGCTTTCCCATCTGTGAGACCACATCGAGCTGGGGGTCCAGCCCAGCCCTCGTGGAAGGGGAGCGCTCGCTTCCTGACACTGCCCGCACCTCAGCCCCCTCCCCAGCTCTAGCCCAGTCTTCTCCCAACTTCCCTCAACTACAAAACTTGGTGCTGCAAGCCCTGGGACAGGCACCCCCCAGCCATGGCCCTGGCCCCGAGAGGGGGTCCGGGAGGCGCTCATAAGGGGTTCTCTTGGGCAGACTCTGGTCAGGCATCATGGGGATGAACTTTTTTTTTCCTTTTATAGATTTTCAAAGATGGGGGGGAGGAAAGTGAGCCCTTGTTGCTGTTAAACCAAGAACTTATTTGTACAATTTTTTTTTTTTCAATAAAAACGTTTCCAGTGAAATTTTGTTGGAGCATGGAAGATGATTGGGTCAGGAGATTCCCATGTCATTCTTCCCAGGGGACCAGGGTTGCTACTAACGGCCCATATCAGACCCTGAAGTGCTGGCAGATAATATGTGCTGCAGGCCCGTTATGTGTTGGCCTACTATATGCTGGCTTGGCAGGCCCACTATGTGCAGGCTTGGGAATTGTTTTGGCTTGGCTGCCCTGGAGAAGTTGTGGCTGCAGGGCTGGAATGACGGCACTGGACTGGAGCCCAGGGCGTTCGGTCCCGCTGTGAGGGCCCCGTCTTCATTACGCAGGCTTTCAGTTCCAGCAGACCCATCCGTACCCACGGCCGGGGCGTACAGGGCTGTGGAAGGAGGGAGCTTGTGGGATCCTTGCTCTGTGTTTGGATTTGTAACAGGAGAGGAGGAGGGACCTGACAGCCCTCTTGTTGGTTCCCACTCATGACCACACCTCAGGGAGGGAGAGGGCACGTGGGATGCAAAGGACAGAAGACCTGTGGCCAGGGAGGCAGAGGAACAGAGGAAGCTGGATTCGAGCCCCATTTCTGCTACTTGCTGACTGTGTGACCTTGGACAAGTCACTCCCTCTCTCTGGGCACCTCTTTGGCTTCCTTCTGCCAACAGCTCTGCCCTGGAGGTTGTTGGTTCATGGAGTGAGCCCCTGCCTGGCTGGGCAGCCCAGTTGGAGTGCTCCAAGATGTGAATGGGGCGGCAGAAGGGCCGGCAGATTCACTTTCATTAGTAGCACAACAGAATTTTAACATGACTGTTCAGCGCTCCAGGGCTGCTCTATGCTGTGGACCCAGTAAATTCCATCTCTACCCTCAAGGGCTTCATCTAGAGGTGGAGACTTAAGGACCTGCGTGCTCAGTACTCACTGTGTTCCAGTGGCCTGGATCATTCTGTTCCCAAGTGTGCCACACTTAACTGCCTACCTGAGGGCCTTTGCACTAGCTGTTCTTTTTGCCTGGCAAGCAGTTCTTCTGGATCTTCGCAGGGCTGCTGTTTGTCATTCAGACCTCAGCTTGAATGGCATCTGCTCAAAGAGGTCTACCCTGACCACCAGTATAAGCTCCTCTCCACCTCGGTTTCTCTACCATGTTTTCTTGTTTTACTGACTCTTAAGCACTATGAAATTACCCGCCTATTGACACATTCACTGTCCCCACTGCTAGATTCAGCTTCATACACATATAAGGGACTCAGAACATATCTGCTGAGTAAGTGAAAGGGCCTCCTAGAAGGGCACGGGGGCTGTGGGAGGCCGGAGGTGGAAGCCATGACTGCATGGGGAGATCAAGGAAGGCTCCCCAGAGGAGGTGACATGGGCTGCCTTGAAGGGTGAGTAGGCATTTCTTGATCAGAATAATGGTTTTAATAATACCAGCTGGTACTACCTTTATGTTTTGGTCCCACTGTATACAAACACCATGTCAGTCACTTGATACATATCATTTTATCCAAGCCTCCTAACAGCTTGGCTAGGTCGCGATAATCCCCATTTTACAGGTGAGAGAACCAAGGCTCAGAGAGGTTAAGTGACCTGCCTGAGGCCTCACAGCAGTGTGGCTGAGCTGGGACTTGCTCATCAGTTGGATAGTTTCTCCTCTATGCCACACAGGAAGGGCAGGAGAGGAAGTGGCCAGATTCTAATAATGAAGCTGCATAACCTGCTTACGGTCTCTCTCTGTTGTCCCACGTAATCCCCACAGTGGCCCAGTTAGGTGGGCAATCTCCTAATCATACAGATACGGCTCAGAGATGGGCAGAGACAGGACTAGAACCCAGGACTCTTGGACCCAAAGATCATCCTGCAATAGCTGCCCCACCAGGTGGGAGTGGGCAGCGAAAAAGCCAGACCCAGGGGTGGGGGCGGCACAGATGACACAAAGGGGGCCCTGAGGCCACATGCCTCCATCCAGGCACAGGCGGGGAGGGTGGGGAGAGGTCTGCGCTACCCCCCCACCGCGGGAAGGGGTGGAGCTGCTGGCGTGGAGGATGGCCAGCGGTGGACACGTGAACAGGTCAGGGTTGGGCTGGGATCAGAGTGGCCATGTCAGCACCCCCAGTGGCCCAGGGCAGCCGTGTGGGGCTTTCCTGCCGCCTGGAGGCCACTAGAGGGACCTCCCTGTTATTCCCACCAGGGTGCTGGTTAAAGTCTCAGAGAGACCAGGACCCTGCTGCATTGTGAGGGTCCCGGATGGGAGGCAAGTGTGGGGAGATGGGGACCAACTCCACTGAGCGCCACTGTCTGCCTTGCACTGCCGTGTATAATCTCATTAATCCTCAGAGCTTCCTCAGGGGAGCTATCGCTGCCCCATGTTCAAGTGAGGAAACAAGCTCAGAGGTGAAGTGACCAGCCCGAGGCCACCTAGCAGGGCAATGACAGAGCCCGACCTGTATGGGAACCCAGGTCTCTGGCCATGGAGGAGACACGCTGTCGACACGTGTGTGCTCCACACTCCGCAGTTCAGTGGGGCTCTGCATAATCTTTACCCTAGTCCCTGCAGCATGCGGTTTATTTTCCTGCGTCTTACGGATGAGGAAACAGACTGCAGCTGAAACCTCCTTGAGAGCGGGCCCTTCTCTAGCCATGTCCTGCCACATCCCCATACCTAGCACAATGCCTGGCATATAGGTGGTGCCTAATAAATGCTCATGCGAAGGAACTGGTCTGGTGGGTGCTCTGGTGCTTAGCGGCAGAGGCATTAGAGCCTGACAGACCTGACGAGAATCCCAGCTCTGCCACTTCTAGCTATGTGACCTTGGGCTGGTTACTTAACCTCTCTGAGCTTCAATTTCCTCACTAGTAAGGCAGGAAAGCAGTATTCACCTCATAAAGTTGTAGCGAGAATTAAATGAGGTAACCCATCATACTTGGCAAATAATATGAGGCCAAGAAATATTAGCTCTTAATAAGAGAAGGTAAGTAACTCAAGCTCATACAGCAGCACTGGGATTTGAACCCATACCTCTAGGACTTTAAAGCCCATTTCTTTCCACTGTGCCATACTACCTGGGGGACAGGCTGAGCTGAAGTGGTCGGGGAGAGTCCCTGGAAGGAGAGGTGCTAGAGCTGGATAGGAAAGAGGGAAAGAGGCATTCCAGAGGAGAGGAACAGCATGAACAGAGGGGCGGCAGCTGGAACAGGCACGGTGAGCTCGGGATACGGTGAGGGGCCTGTGGGTGTTGGGGGTGAGGTCTGGGTGCCAGGTGGCGGGTTGAATGCTCTGAGAGAGGCTTGGGGGAGGGGTTGACAGGGAGGCCCCAAGGTCCATGGACGTTACTGTAGGAGCAGAGCTGATGGTCTGGCCCCTCCACCCCTCCATCCTCCCCTCTCCCTCGGACATCCCTTCCTCTTCCCGTTTGCTCCTGCTGTCTCCTCTGCCTGGTCCCATACCCCATCTTCGCCCACGGAGCCCCTCCTCATCCTTCAAACCCTATGTCCAAGGGCCCTGGGACCCTTCCTGGCCCGGTCAGAAGCATGGCTTCCTCCGGGCTCCCAGTGCTGTGTCAAGGCACCTGACAGCAGGCACTGTATCTTCCGTCCGGGTGCTCTTGGGGGCACTTGATCCTTCACTACATCTCACTGTCACCCTTCTTCCTTTCTCTCAGTGTGGCACGGACATGTCTGCTCAGCTCCACCACACTCCCATCTCCAGCGTCTCAGCTGTGGGAGGAGCACGGAGTTCGCGTGCCCAGGCACGGCTGACCCACCCGGCAGTTCCAGCAAGAATTCTGACACTTAAAATGCACACATGGAGAAGCAGTCAGCTCTCGTACTTTCTTTTTTCTGCGTCATTCCTGCATTTGCCCATTCTTGCTATAAGCCAGAGAGCACGAACAAACTCAGCAGGGGTGAGGAGAGGGGCCAAGGGCAGGAGGGAGCGCTGAGCTGCGTTAGAGAACTTATCAAACCATGAGTTTGATGCTAGAGTCACCAGGTTACAGTTGAACTTACAGCGTTGCTAGGCCGCAGGTAAGATTTAGGGCTCCAATCTCAGGGAATTAGGGGACATATGGGAGGATTTGGATGAATTAGAGCAGCCCTTGCTCCACCGAACCCTGTTGCAGCAGAAGCTGCCTCGCCTGAAGACCTTGAAATGACCTTGCCTTGGAAGTTACCCTGCAAAGTGTTTAGTTGTTTACTATGGAGTAACGAGCTACCCCACACTGAGCAGCTTAAAATAATCTATTCTTTTTCCCAGTTCCGCGGGTTGGCCGGGCAGTCCTTCCACTGGTCTTGTCTGGGTTCGCTCAGGTGACTGCGTTCACTGGATGCTGGGCTCAGCTGGGGTGGCGGCAATGGCTGGGCGCCAAGCCTCTCTCTCACGTGGCCCTGCATCCCTGGCTCCTTCCCGGCACGGTGGCTCAGGGTTCTGAGAGGATGAAGGCCTGGGCTCTGCCACTTGTATCATGCCACCTTCCATCACAGTCCGTAGGTCAGCGCAGTCACGGGGCCAGCCCAGCTTTGAGGGGTGAGGAACAGACTGGCTCCGGATGGAAGGAGCAGCAAAACGTCGCGGGCGTGTTTTCCATCTCCCACGCAGGGGGAGGCCAATTCTCTTCGGGCCCTGCTCCCATGGTCTCCAGTCCCCATAACTGGAGTTGGATGTTTGCCTGCCTCAGGGGAAAGTGCCAGAGTCCAATCTGGGAGGAAGAAACATACACATGAAAAGAATCGCAAGATTTTGCTAATTTATATCAGGAAAAGATCTGGATAACATACATGGGAACGTTTTCTGTGGGGGCTAGTCCACGGAGGGAAGAATGTAATTTTCACTGGGCTGGATTTATCAATATGGGCATAGTCCCCTGAGATTCCAGCTTGAAGGTGCCAGTTTGAGCAGCTAGGAGTGGTTTGCATGGTTTGCTTAGCTGGTTGACTTGAAACCTTGATTCAGCTGAGGCCTATGCTAAACTGATGTTGCAATGCCAGAAATTCCCTGCTGTAATATGGAGGAAGGAACCCAAAGACTGAGAGAGCAGGAAG